CCATTTTGTATCACCCGGGGAGAGCCAATGTGGTGGCTGATGCATTGAGTAGGAAGTCCGCCAGCATGGGTAGTCTTGCTTATATTCCGATCAGCCAGAGACCGCTTGCTTTGGATATTCAGTCCTTGGCCAATCGATTTGTGAGGTTGGACATTTCTGAGCCTAGCAGAGTGTTAGCTTGCACGGTCGCTCGTTCTTCATTATTGGAGCGTATCCGTGATCGGCAATTTGATGATCCCCATTTGTGTGTCCTGAGAGACACGGTGCATCGTGGAGGTGCCACGAGGGTGACCTTATATGATGATGGTGTTTTGAGATTGCAGGGGCGAGTTTGCGTGCCCAATGTCGATGGGATTCGAGAGTTGATCTTAGCGAAGGCCCATAGTTCTCGGTATTTTATTCACCCGGGCGCCGCGAAGATGTATCAGGACTTGCGGCAGCATTATTGGTGGCGTAGGATGAAGAAAGATATTGTTGCGTATGTGGCTCGATGTTTGAACTGTCAGCAGGTCAAGTATGAGCACCAGAGGCCCGGTGGTTTGTTTCAGAGGATTGAGCTTCCCGAGTGGAAGTGGGAGAGGATTACCATGGATTTCGTTACTGGGCTTCCGATGACTCAGAAGAAATTTGATGTTATTTGGGTCATTGTTGATAGGCTGACCAAGTCAGCGCATTTTATTCCTGTTGCAGCCACTTATTCATCTGAGAGGTTAGCTGAGATCTACATCCGAGAGATTGTTCGCCTTCACGGGGTGCCGATATCTATCATTTCGGACCGGGGTACGCAGTTTACCTCGCGCTTCTGGAGAGCAGTTCAGCAGGAGTTGGGCACCCAGGTTCAGTTGAGCACAGCGTTCCATCCTCAAACGTACGGCCAGTCCGAGAGGACTATTTAGATATTGGAGGATATGCTCTGAGCCTGTGTCATTGATTTTGGAGGCTCGTCGGACCAGTATTTGCCTTTAGCAGAGTTCGCCTACAACAACAGCTACCAGTCCAGCATTCAGATGGCTCCATATGAGGCGTTGTATGGTAGGCGATGTCGGTCTCCAGTCGGATGGTTTGAGCCGGGAGAGGCTCGGTTATTAGGTACAGATTTAGTTCAGGAGGCCATGGATAAGGTCAAGATCATTCAGGACAGGCTTCATTCGGCTCAGTCGCGGAAAAAGAGTTATGCAGATCGTAAGGTTCGGGATGTAGCTTTCATGGTTGGTGAGCGGGTCTTGCTCCGAGTGTCGCCTATGAAGGGCGTGATGAGATTTGGGAAGAAGGGCAAGCTTAGCCCTAGGTTCATTGGTCCATTTGAGATTCTCGATCGTGTGGGAGAGGTGGCTTATAGACTTGCCTTGCCGCCTAGCTTGTCAGTCGTGCATCCAGTGTTTCATGTGTCCATGCTTCGGAGGTATCACGGCGATCCAGCTCACGTGTTAGATTTCAGCACTGTCCAGTTAGACAAGGATCTGTCCTATGAGGATGAGCCGGTAGCTATTCTAGACCAGCAGGTTCGTCAGTTGAGATCCAAGAGTTTTCCTTCAGTGCGTGTTCAGTAGAGAGGTCAGCCTCCTGAGGCTTTGACCTGGGAGTCCGAGTCTGATATGCGGAGCCGTTATCCTCATCTGTTTCCCGACTCAGGTACTTCTTTCTTTTGTCCGTTCGAGGACGAACGGTTGTTTTAGAGGTGGAGGATGTGACGATCCAAAGGGTCATCACCTGTTTCCTCATTTATTCCGTGCTTCCGAGGCCTTGAAAACCTCATTTTTACTTGCCTCGATTTGCGTGCGCAGTCCGGGCGTGTAGCCGGACAGCTTAAATATGAGTTCTGTGTGAAAAATGATGAATTTTGATATTAATATGATTAAAGTTGACTTTGGTCAATATTTTTGGTAAATGGACCCGGACCCGTGATTGGGCGGTCCCGGAGGGTCCGTAGAAAAATATGGGACTCGGGCATATGCCCGGAGTCGAATTCCGAGGTCTAGAGCCCGAGAAATGAATTTTTCTGTGAAATTGTTTTTCTGAAATTTATATGAAAATTTGAAATGAAAATGGATTAGAAAGTGTTGGTATCGGGCCCGTATTTTGGTTCCGGCGCCCGGTACAGGTCTTATATGTGGTTTAAGCGCTTCCTGTGAAATTTGGTTGAAATCGGACATCATTCGACGTGTTTCGGACCTAAATATCTAAAATTTGAAGTTTATGAAGTTTGATGAAAAAGTGATGATTTTGAGGTTTGATTCCTCGTTTATGATAGTATTTTGGCGATTTGATCGCACGGTTAAGATCGTAGGATGTTGTCGAGTTAGTGTGTGTGATTGATTAGGAGCCCCGAGGGCTTGGGAGTGATTTGGAGGTGGTTCGGGGTATTTTTGAACTTAGGAAATGTAGCAGATTTTCTGCAATTTTTGCACAGCTTTTTCCTTCTTCGCGATCGCGGCCCTCAGCCCGCGTTCGCGTACCTTTGGGCTTTCCCTTCTTCGCGTTCGCAGCTCAGTCCCCGCGTTCGCGTAGCTTTAATCCTCCCTTCATCGCGTTCGCGAACCACGTATCGCGTTCGCATAGAACAAACTCGGACCCCAGCACTTTTCTTCTACAACCACGTATCGCGTTCGCATAGAACAAACTCGGACCCCAGCACTTTTCTTCTACGCGTTTGCGTTTGCCTCCACGCGATCGTGATGACTTGCCCAGCTTACCCTTCGCGAACGCGGCCCCCTTCCCGCGAACGCGAAGGGCAATTTTGCCCAGTGATTTTTAATACCCCAAAACAGAACATTGACGGGATTCTTCACCCAAAACATACGAACTCATCTTCTCCACAGCCCATAGGCGATCTTTAGAGCTCTTCTTCACCAAAGCTTCTTGGGTAAGTATTATCTAACTCGTTTTCTTCATTTTCTATCATCACTTATCAAATTCCTAGACCTAAAGCATGTAATTTAGGGTGTAAATTAAGGGTTTTGGGTAGAGTTAGGTTTTTGAGAATTTTGGGTGATTCAACCTCAATTTGGGGTCGAATCTTAAAACAAATTTCATATTTGAACACGTGGGGTTGTGGGTGATCGAGTTTAGGTCCGAGCCTCGTGTTTGGACCACGTGGGCCCGTTGTCGAATTTTGGTATTTTTGGAAGAATGCTAGGAAATTCATATCTAGGCTATGGGATGTTGCCATTGAGCCTTTATTGATATTATTGAATTAATTATGCCTAGATATCATTATTTCGGAGTCGAATTGTAGAGGAAAGGCGGTATTTGAGGATTGATTGCTATTCTTGGACCGAGGTAAGTGTTTGATCTAACTTTGGCTTGAGGGAATAGGATTAGGGTATTATTTTCTAATTGTTAAATGTTGAGTACGGTGTATAGGTATGGTGACGAGTATCTATACACCGGTGTCTAGCATTCTTATATGAACAGTAAGAAGAGGAAATATGATTTGTAAATTTCTTGGAGCGTTGGCTCGAATTATGACATGGTTAGGAAGTAAGAAATAAACGAAAGAGAAAGAGATGTAATTATCCCCTTGTCGGGACGTGTGAGTTATTGTTGTTGCTCCCTTGCCGGGAAGTAAATGTTTATTTGTATTCTCCCTTGCCGGGATAGTTGGATTGATACTTGATCCCTTGCCGAGATAGCTGAATTGGTATTTGTTCCCTTGCCGGGAAATCATTATATATTATAAATTGGGATCGTGTGGCACGCCGACCACTTATATATTGTAAAATGGGATCGTGTGGCACGCCGACCACTTATATATTGTAAAATGGGATCGTGTGGCACGCCGGCCACTTATATATTATAAAATGGGATCGTGTGGCACGCCGACCACTTATATATATTATACAATGGGATCGTGTGGCACGCCGACCACTTATATGTTATAAAATGGGATCGTGTGGCGCACCGACCACTTATATATTATGAAAAAAATGGGATCGTGTGGCACGCCGACCATGAAATCTGTGTTGGAAGGAACCAGTTGTGATTTTCCCTTATCTATACCTGCCGTTCTATTTTATCTGTTATCCCCAAAAGCATGTTTCCCCTCCCAGTCTTAATTATTACTTTTCGCTGTTATTTTTGTAGTACTTGTACATATATATATATATCTGCACAGGTTGATTGGTAGTCCTGTCTAGCCTCGTCACTGCTTCGCCGGGGTTAGGCCAGGCACTTACCAGTACATGGGGTCGGTTGTGCTGATGCTACACTTTTGTGCTCTTTTGCACAGATCACGGTACCGGAGCAGCTTTTGGACTACAGCAGTAGTTGATTGGGAGCCGACATCAGTCCCGGGACTTTCGAGGTAGCCTAGCTGGCGTTCGCAGGCCGGAGTCCCTTTCTATGTTTTTAGTTTGTTTTCCTTGTACCGAGACAAACATTGATGTATTTCTATTCGGACTTGTTTTTAGCACTCTTTAGTAGTTCGTGAGCTAGCGACACCAGTCTTGGGTAGAGAAATGTTAACTTCCGCATTTTGGGTCTTCAGTTATTTAAGTTTTAAAGACTTCCGCTTTTATATTAACTGTTTCGTTGTTCTTTATATTGTTGATGTTGTTAAGGGTAGTATTAAATTAATTGGCTTGCCTAGCTCCTATTAGTAGGTGCCATCACGACTCCCGATGGCGGAAAATCCGGGTCGTGACAATGTATCTTTCAAATTCAGTTAATATTTGTTAAAGAATATAAATTCAGATGTATTAAACAGGTTATTGTCTAGTTAGAGAATATAAATTCATACTTATTGAAATTGTTATATTACAGCTGAGTATATAGATGTATTCTGATGAATTCTGACTAGTTATGTATATAACTCAGGCATTGTCTATAATAAACTGTCAAAGTATATGTGGACAAGGTTATATTTGATTGTATCCAACACATTAAGGCAACTATATGTATTCAGAATCTATTCACGAAAGTCATTTCAGAAATTATTACTTGACAATGTCATCATAAGTATTGACAAATCATTGAAGCACCAATATATGTCAGAGTGTTAACTATTTATTACGTGGAGCATTTCTACACGTTCGCTTGTTATGTCCTCCCTGCCCACATATGCTACATGAATGTTGATTTTTCGGCTGCAGCAATTCACTTAAAGGTTTATTGCGCTTCTTCTTTAGCCTTCCAGGAGGTCTTTTCCATTTGGGTGGTAGTACAACCTCCTCTGCAACATGTGGTGGTATATTCCAGTCATTTTTTTCCGGTAGCGGATACACAGGCACATCGTATGTCATTACAATAATATTTGGTTTGTAATAGTTAGAGCAATATTCTCCTGGCATTAGAAACTTGCTCTTCAATACAGCCCAAGCATGTGGGCATGGCAATTCATCAACTTGGAACCTCCCACAAACACATTTTCTCTCTAACAGGCAGACTGTGTAATTTCTCCCTCCATCGTTAACCGTATGTAAGTATTCAGTTGATGGTACCACCTACATTTAAAAATAGAAATATAAGTTTTGAGCACATATAACTGAATTACCATATGTATAATGCTGAATTACTCTGTTACATACAATTGAAATGTTTGCATACAGATGAATACATCATATATTTAGACCAGCATACTATCAACTGTAATTAGTGCAGAACTTATCAAAAGTCTTATGTACTTTAGGAAACAAGAGGTTAACAAAAACATTAGAAGGATACGTCATGACAATACATATTAAAATTATATATAATACAGATTTTGTTAGTTGTATTCTGATGTATTCGAATAGTTTTTGCAGCATGTTTTTAGTTATATTCAGTTGTATTCATATCAGATCTTCGAAAAAATATGTCTTGTATGTGTTTGGATTTAGTTGTATTCATATGTATTCATGGTAGTTGTATTTTAAAAAATGATTGTATTCAGTTGTATTCATGCCATTAATTCAGAAAACAATTAAGCTATATACTACAATGACATTAAAATATAACTTACAGTCATACGTGTAGACATTGCCTCATTCAAAGTCAGCATCTCCTAGTATTTTTTTCCAAGCGTCGTGTATGTCTGTGTAGCTTCTTTGCGGTTACTATAATTCCAACGTCCAAACATCTTCCTAACTTCTTCGAGGAAGTCGTATATTGGCAATTCCCTTGCTGAAACTAGTGCGACATTGATTGACTCGGCAATATTTGACGTCATTGTCCATCCCCTGTTAACAGGTGCATACAACCTAGCCCACTTTTCGTATCCAGCTAACTCTAAGTATTCTTTCACCCTAATATCTACCTTCTCCACCTTCTCTATCAGACTATCAAATTCAGCTTGTGTGTATGCTTTTGCCATCGAGAAGTATATCTCGCTCAACTTAGCATGGCTCTTTTTGAATTTCTTATATACGTTGTTCCATAGATGCCATATACAAGCAAAATGTGGTACATTTGGATACACTCTCGATACAGATTTAATGATCTCTCATTTCTATCTGAAACGATGCACATGTTTTCCCTGTCACCGTATGCTATCTTGAATTGCTCAAAGAACCACGTCCAAGCAGCATCGTTCTCTGAATCAATAACACCATATGCTAGTGGCAATATATGACCTGTAAATACAATTGAATACTTATTTTTAAAACATGTAATTCAATATTTAAAATATTAACAGATTGTATTATGATTCAGATACTCACCTGCACCATTCAACGTGCTTGCTGAAACGAATGTCCGGGTGTAGTAAGATTTTAGGTGACTTCCGTCCACAACAACAATGGGTCTACAATGATCAAACCCCTTTATAAAGTCATACAAAGATATATACACGTAAATGAATTCATTTTTTGGCGATTTTACCATTCTGATGTGGGAACATGGATATGTCATTCCATTGTATATAAGTATCCTAGTAATTTTTTGTATGAATCAGCTGGTTCACCTCTCAAAAAATTTATTGCCTTTTCTTTAGCCCTCCACGCCAACATGTAGCTAACATCTACACCTAAATCTGATTTCACATCATCAATAATATCCTTTGGGGTGTATTTCCTCTTATGATTAGTAAGCTTAGGCCTTATTATACCACTTATAAGGCTGCTACTTGCCTGTCGCTGCTCATACACCTTGTCCTTCAGCGGACATGTATGGTTATCAATGAATTCTCTCACTTTGAATAATTCTGATTTGTTAATGCTTGAAGCCTTAAACCTCCATTCACAATCTTCTGAAATACATAATAATGCATAGCTGCAAAGAATTAATCATTGTACATATGATTAGCATAAGTGTTTACAAAAAAATTCCCTCATATACACACGAATACACTCTGATTATTTTACATACTGACATCTATATACATAAATTTTTATACTACTGAATTCAATTATAGTTATATGTATTTAAATACAATGAATACAACTGAATACAATTGTGGGTATATGCATACACTTAAAACCACAGTAGACAAAATAAGAAAATAATTAGAGCCACTGTAATGTAATTATACCAGTAAAATACATATGAATACATGTATTTAAGGACCATAAACAAACATATGTTAACTACATCTATGATAATCAAGAGGAAATCCACAAATACGCATAAATACAACAACGTTAAACTTACAGCTCGAACCAATAATAGAAAATACAAAAAAAAATATTAAATACATGCAAACCTGACAGCATTAGACCTATCAACTCGGAATTGAAACCTTTGAGCTATAGCATAATTCTCCATCACCTGTTTCAATGTAGCCTTATCCTTATACACTTGTCCAGCCATAACCTCCCTTTGATTAGTTTTTGAAATTATCAAATCATTGTGGAGTTCGAACACTCCAATCGCTTCTCCTGAATTGATAAAATCTAGAGCCAGTGTATCATCTGTATCGGAATCGTACCTTTGAACTGCTTCGTCTATTTGCACAATGTCGCCTTGATTTAAACTACCTCCGGATACAAGTTCTTTTTCAATAGTTGTTATGCACAAAGGATACATCCCAAATTCCCTGTTCTTTTTTTTCAATTCTACATACACTCTGTAACCCATATCATTGTGTATTTCCATTGGCGTGCAATTTCCTTCTACTTTGTTTTGAATTTTAATGGACTTTGAGCTCAAATCTATACCCAGTTGATTAGAAATTGAAGCAACCAGATCATTAAAGGAGGCATACTCCTTTATCAGTATTCCCTCAATTGAAAAATCGATGTAATTGCCCTCATCGTTCCACTTGCCAGAATGACGCAACAACACTGTTAAACTTGCCATATGCATAAAGGAACTATACCGTATTTTGTATATAATTTGTATCAATCTAATTTTCCGTGGTTGAATTGATATCTGCGAACAGAGAAAAAGGAGAAGTGAATGGAAGAACTTTCGAACAGATGTTGCTCTGGTTTTCGCTGCTTTTGTTTATTGAATCGTGTATGGCAGAATACAGATTAATGGGTACTAGTTTTTGTTCGTTGAGTTAAATTAGGAAATTATCATGTGATTTGATTTCCTTCCGTTTTTAACTAGTTTAATCTTCCAGATTTTGCGCAGATACGTTACTGTATTCACGTTAATGCCACGTGAATACAGTTAAATACATATCAACCTTAGCTGGAATTCCCTTTTTAACGCCTATTTTTTCTATTGTATTAATGAATACAATAGCTTAAATACATAAAATACACTGTATTAAAACATAAAAGGTATTATAACACGTAATATAGAAAAATATATCTATAAATGGCTAATTAGACCTAAAAGATGGTGCTTTATGAAAAATTCTCATTTGAATTTTCAGTCCTATTAGGCCCAATTTCGCACATTTTGGAAGCCCAAATCAGCAACCCAACACCCCTGACCCGTTTTTAACCCAAACGACCCATCTACCCGCCCATTTCCCCCTCTAAATCTCAGCCAATCATCTCATAAAATCCAATGGCCCATATTTCCCAAACCCTCCATATAAAAACCTAGTTATAACATTTTCCCCAAAACCCTAAACCTAATCTCTGTCTCCCAAGTCGGCGCCCCCCCCCCCCCCCTTTCCCAGCCTCTGCCCACCTCCAAACTCACTGGAATCGGCCGTGTCAACTCATGGTCCCCCTTTCCCTTCTCTCTTTCTTCCACGTGGCCTGACAAATAACTGATTCTGGTTCGAATCCGCGTTTTTTTTGCTCTCTCACACGTGAATCTCTTTCAACGGTAGATGATGGACGAAGGGTAGGATATGATTAATGAAATTTAATCATACCCCTCCATTTGCCCAGATTTTTACCAAAAAGAAGGAAATTTTCGGAATTTGGGGGGGATTTTCGGATTTTTGAAGTTTTTGCGATTTCTTGCAAAGGAAGGAGAGAAGCTTCGAGAAGGGGCTATATATTTGGGTCTGGGACAGAGAATAGGAGGGAGAGAAAGGATAGAGAGAAAATTTCGAGAAAAAAGGAAGAAAAAAATTTGGAGAAATTTCGGGTTTGAGCATAAAACTAGGGTTCTTTCTTGGAGGTTTTCAGACTTTTATTTTTTTCTTTGTTCTTTCTGATTTCGAACAAAATTAAAAAATAGATTTCTGTTTCTTCTATTCGGAGTTTAATGGCGATTTTCAAAAGTGGAGATTTCTGAAGCTTGAAGCTGTGGCGAGGTGGCCTTCGAGTTCGAGTGAAATTCATATATATAGGAGTTACATTAGGTGAAAGTAAACTGATTAGCTTATATGATTGATTTGTGGTCTTATTTTTGAACTTGAATTACGGCAGGATTACTGGTTAGATGTCATTTGGAAATTTTCTATTCTTAGCAAATTAAGAGACAATATGCATGAATTGGGATTAATATAGGGTTATGGTGCGCATCAATGTTTTAATTTATTTTGCCTTTCCTTTCCCCTCCTATAGTAATTCTTGGTGTTCTGTTCGCTCATTTGCTACAAATATTATGTGTCTTTTGAAAAGTTACTTTTCTGATGTTTCCCTTGTCTTTATTTGTGTGGACAGTTTGGATAAATTACTTGAAATGGCTCACGGGGTTTGGGTTTAAATGGATTAAAAGAATATGAGCATGAATTGAATCTTGCTTTTATTTAGTTCTCTTTTATTATTGCATTTTTAACATATTATCGTTAGGAGCATGTTTAGGCCGACCACACCTGGGTAGGCAAGCTTTAGGATTTTGTTAGTTTTGAGGCGGGAGGTCGTTCCCTTAGTTAAATTTACTCGGGGAATGCACCGAGGGATTTGTATATATATTTTATTTTAGGGGTATGCCGCGAAGTGAATGTAATTGGAGGCCATGGCGAACAAACTTTAATTTTTCTTCTTTTAATTTTTCTTTCATTTTAAGTGGGAACGACCTCCAGCCTCTTGTGTGTTTATTTTGTTTTTCGTGTTTTTACCTCAATTGAATATTTTAAAAACTGACTAGATCAAGTATGCAACCGTACTAGTTACGGGACTTGGGGAGTGCCTAACACCTTCTCCCCGAGTCAAATGAACCCCCTTACCCGAATCTCTGGTGTGGACTTGGTTTTAGAGTCTGAAAGATTTTAAAACGAAAAATTATTTTTTTAAAAACGGTGATCTGGCACACTGAAATCAAAGTCAGGTGGCGATTCTGAGTTATTTTCCTTTTGAATACAATTTTTGTCACGTTTTAATTGGAAAACCCTTTTCAGCTTTACTAAATCTTTTATTAATTTAAGAGGGTTAGTAGAGATTGTGAAAAAAGGGGTGTGACCACCACAACCTTTACCCATTAGAGACATTACAGTACACCGATTGGAAATTTTTAAATCCAAGCGCTCTATACACCTTGATTTTCACATCACAATATTTATGCTTTAATTTATAGTTGTCAAACAAAAAATTATTATGCTTTAGAAATCCTCACGGCCTAATCCAGATGTTTTGGCTTCCTCCTTTAAGCTAATTTTATCGCAACATAATACTTCCTTCGTTTACTTTAACTTGACATTTATTTTAAAAATAAATTTTTATTTTTACTTATCACTTTATGCATATCAAGAGAAGATAAACTTTTTTTTTCCTGTTATACCCGCATACTCTTTTTAAATTATTTTCTCAAATCCAACAAAATAAACATCAATTAATATGGGTATCATAGTAAATTATGTACTTCATTTATTATTTTTTAAGGGGCGTGAAAAATCGAAACGTGCCAAGTAAAAGTAAACGGAGGGAGTATTCAATTTTGATTGCAACAAACCACGATTTCCACATGGCCTGGCATATTTGATGACAACAGGTGTTTTCGCCATTAAGGTCTTCCCAAAAGGTTTGTGCTCACAAGGTCAAACGACACCATCTTCTACATTTTCTAAGGTTTGTGTTCAGTGAAGTTTTGTACGTACCAATCCCCTCTCATTTAACTGCCAATTTAGTTCTTTCTATGCTCCTTAAAAAATAATAAATACGTATAATTTATGTGTTACTCATATTTAGTAGTAAAAGTAGATTAAATTAATTTCTCTTAAATACTATGCAATTAAGTATATAGTTGAAAACAATAAATATAAAGTATAGTTTACTAAGTTACCCCTATTTAATAAAAGTATATTAATTTATTTGAATTAAATACTGTGTAATTAAGTATAAAGTTGAAATTAATTACCAATTTTAATTTCGATTTTCTAAAGTGACAATTATTTTTAGATAATTCTTTCAAAGTTAGAGTGACTATTAATTTGGGACGGAGGATCGGAGTATTTCTTAGTGTTTTTGGCACTACTATCACTTTTGTTAGAGAAACTACAATTCGTTGTTTAAAGATATTGATGAAATTTTTTAGGGGTTGATCAATTAGCTTGTAAAAAATGAAATATCTGGAGTGTGCTGATCTATTCCTTATGATTCATGTAAACTATTAAACGAAATAACACATCTAACTAAAAGTTAAACCAAATATTTTCTCTAACATGTCTGAATATGGATTTGAATAGTGATAAAGTAGCTCTCTTTTTAGTGTTTAGGAATTTGTTTTGATTTTCTTACCTTATTTTGATTTATTCTTTTACTTGAAGAAATGATAGAATATTAACCATAATAGTTTTATTTTTTTCTATATTAAAGTTTATGCCAGTTTTAATATATTTTTTTTTATTGTCTGATTTATCGTCGTCAAGGTTTGCTTTATTTTCTTTCGCATGATGCCTTGTTACTTTCGATCCCAACAAGTGATATTAGAGTTAATGGTAGAAGCGAGATTGAAGACAAGTTCAAGGTGGATTCAGATCAAGCAACGACCAATTTGACGATACTGGAGATTTTTTATCCAAAAAAGAAAAAAGAATACTCAGAATACTACATGTGGAGATAAATTTTAAACCCTAGTTTCAAAATATATGCTGCTGCATATTCAAAAACAAAAACCATTTTAACCTATGTTTATGGTCTCCTACTTTTAATCCTACTCACTTTTAACGTAGGGCTCCACTTTAACCGTGCTCACTTTAACGTAAGGCTCCAATATTTTTAACCCGTGCTTACTTTTAATACATGAAGCTCCAATTTTCTACCCATATATATTTTTAACCATGTCAAGCAACAGTGATGAAGATTAAGTGAAGAAGGAGGATCAAGCTTTGTAATAAAATTCAAGCCAAATGGAAGAATTGTTAGGAATTTGTCATAATTTTCTTACCTTATTTAGATTTATTCTTTTACTTGATGAAAGGGTAGAATATTAACCATAATTATTTTACTTTTATTATAAGGAAAATATAAATCTCCTCCCTATTTAATAGATTTCTTTCTTGGAGAAAAAGTTCTGGTCTCTATAAATTGAGGATTCATCATTCATAAACAACAATATAGCATCCACAATACAGTCCTTCAAAGAGCTTTGTTTAGGGAGAGATTTTTCTCTACATAGTTTTTTTTCTTTTATATCAGTTTCTCATATTTAGGTCAATTGACCAAACTATATTAAAGTTTATGCATGTTTATTTTTTTATTGTCTAATTTATCGTCACCAAAGTTTGCTTTGTTTTCTTTCGCATGACGCCTTGTTACGTTTGATCCCAACATTTAGTACCTCCGCAACACTTACATATGGGTTTGCCGCTCATTCCTTTCTTTTGTTTAACTTGAGATCGATTGTTATATATATACATCACATGACTATGTTAGATTGGATTATACATTTCCAAAATAATTTGATCGAGTAGTGATATGTCCAAGTCTTCAGTAATACTTAAAATTAAATAAATTTTTTTCGTAAGTTCTTCCTTAAAAATATTTTATGAATCAACTACTGTGTGTATCAGATAATAGCACTAATTATATTTGTATACTTAAACAAGAAAATATAGTTTAACATTTTGAAATAACATAAAGATTTTGTTACTAAGCGTTTCCTCACATTACTTCTCAAAACCTGTGACGACCCAAAGGGTCATCACCTGTTTCTTATCCATTATGTGCTTCCGAGGCCTTGAAAACCTCATTTATAGTCGCCGCGATTTGCGTGCGCAGTCCGGGCGCGTAGCCGGAACGCTTAATTGTGAAATTCTGTGGAAAAAAATGCTAATTTTTGGTGTTACAATGAATAAGTTTGACTTTGGTCAACATTTTGGGCAAACGGACCCGGACTCATGATTTGACGGTCCCGGAGGGTCCGTAGGAAAATATGGGACTCGGGCATATGCCCGGAATCGAATTCCGAGGTTCCGAGCCCGAGAAATGAATTTTTAAAGGAAATTATTTTTCTGAAATTGTTAAGGAAAATTGAAATAAAATTTGATTAGAACGTGTTGGTACCAGGCACGTATTTTGGTTCCGGCGCTCGGTAAATGTCTTATATATGATTTAAGATGTTTCTGTAAAGTTTGGTTCAAAACGGATGTCGTTTGACGTGTTTCGGACTTAAAGTTCTAAATTTGAAACTTGATGAAGTTTTTGGAAAAATTCTTGATTTTGAGGTTTGACTCATTGTTTTTATGTTATTTAGGCGATTTTATCGCACGGATAAGTTCATATGATGTTGTTGAGTTAGTTCATGTGTTTGATTAGGAGTCCCGAGGGCTCGGATGTGATTCTGATGCGTTTCGGGATGGTTTAGACTTAGAAAAAAATTGCAGGAAGTTGCAGATCTGGTGTTCTGATATTTAGTTCTATGCGATCGCATAGGCAGCATCGCGATCGCATAGTGTAAGCTTCCAGGTGCCTAGTTTTGTTCTATGCGATTGCATAGATTCATCCGCGATCGCGTAGCTTAGCCCAATTCATTCAACGCGATCACATCCTTCCTCCCGCGATCGCAGAGCATTAAACCAAATCTGAGAAGGGAAAGCCCTTTCTTCTATGCGATCGCAGTGTTTGGTTCGCGATCGCAGAGACCAACCTTCCCTTCCCATATGCGATCGCATGACTCTCTTCGCGATCGCATAGAGCATTTTTCGCCCAGCTATATTTTAATTTCCAGAACAGTGTTATTACGGGATTTCACCAAATATTTCACAAAACCTTTCTTCTCCAAGCTCTTAGGCGACCATTGAAGCAATCCTTCACCAAAACTTCTTGGGTTAGTAATCCTTTACTCGTTTTCTTCCATTTTCTTCAACATCTAATGAAATCCTAGGCCTAAAACATGTGTTTTAAGGTAGAAAATTGGGTATTTGGGTAGAGTAGGGCTTTTTTGATTTTTCTTGATTTAGACCTCGTTTTGGGGTCGAATTTGGAAATAAATTATATATTCGGGCTCGTGGGTGAATGGGTGATTTTATTTTGGTCCGAACCTCGTGTTTTGACCAAGCGGGCTCGGGGTCGATTTTTGAGTTTTTGGGAAAAATGATGGAAAAGCTATAATTAGGCATTAGGTTCGTATTGTTTAGCATTTATTGATGTATTGAAGTCATTATTGTATAGATACAATCGATTTGGAGCCGAATTCGAAAGGAAAGGCGGTTATTGAGGATTGAATTGGCCGTGGAAGTTTGAGGTAAGTGTTTGGTCTAACCTTAGCTTGAGGGATTAGGAGTTGAGTCCTAATTGCTATGTGATAATTGTTGAGTACGACGTATAGGCATGGTGACGAGTATCTATACGTTGGTGTCAAGTATGACCGTGAGTCTTATACTGTGATTTTCATGATTTCGTTGTATTCTTCATGCTTTGGTGATGATTTCTAGTTTTTGTGAAAAGTTTGTGGAAGGAATTGAGACCTTTGAACATTTTGGAGCATTGGCTCGAGTTATATTATGAATTGTGAAAGTGTATGAGATGATTGAACCCTTTGGAGCATTGGCTCAAGTGGTAAAGTGAGTTATGAAGTACAAGTGAAAGATAGAGAAAGAGTTATTGAAATATTCCCTTGTCGGGATTGAGTTATTTGATTGTTGTTCCCTTGCCGGGATTTAATTATTTACTTGTTGCTCCCTTGCCGGGATTTAATTGTTTAATCGTTGTTCCCTTGCCGGGATTCCTATATGTTCTTGTTTATTTCCCTTACCCTATTTGCCTTGTGATTGTTGTTTGGGTGAGGAAGAGCGTAAAGCACGAAGGGTGATGCCGTGCATTATTTTGGTGAGAGAGTGTTAAAGCACGAAGGGTGATGCCGTGCATTGTTTGCTGTAGTGAGGAAAGAGTGTAAAGCACGAAGGTTCCGTGCCGCACGATGTACCATTCCGTGCCAATTCTATTGATTATATGTGAGGAAAGAGAGTAAAAGCACGAAGGTTGATGCCGTACACATTTTATTATTCTAATTGCTTTGGTGAGGAAAGAGAGTAAAAGCACGAAGGGTGATGCCGTGCACGTTTTCATTATATTATTGCTTGGTGAGGACGAGAGTAAAAGCACGAAGGGTGATGCCGTGCACTTGTCTTTGATTTTCCTGATTCTTGCTGATAATTGAGTTATGTTGTCCTTTACTTTTATTTACTGATTTTCTGTTGTTACTTGATTTTATTTTGATGTTATAGATTCCCTTACCCTATTTGCCTTGTGATTGTTGTTTGGGTGAGGAAGAGCGCAAAGCACGAAGGGTGATTTCGTGCATTGTTTTGGTGAGAGAGTGTTAAAGCACGAAGGGTGATGCCGTGCACTTATTGCCGTTTGTTATGATTTCTTGTTGTTATTGGTTCAAGTGCATTAATTGTCTTATTCCTCTATTACTGTGATTCTTTATATTGGCATTTTCCTTTATTGTGTTACTTGTTATTATTAGCTCTAGGTATCCTTGCACAACACCATGCCTTGAATTTATGCTATAATTGCTACATGTTTATGTGACTTAATTGCTACTTGTCATTACTTGTCTTCCTCAGTGAGTCATAATTATTGTGTACTTGTTGTCTTATGAATTCGTATTAATTGTTGCGTTTATTGGAGTAATTTCATTTGGAAGAACTGTTAATATAATAAAATGGGAGCGGGTGGTACGCCTACCACGTGATATAAGGAAATGGGAGCGGGTGGCACGCCTGCCACGAGATACAGAAAATAGGATCGGGTTGCACGCCTGCAACGAGATATGTACTGACAGTGAAAACTGCTTTTATTTCCCTTATCCGTGTTAGAGTTAAATTATCGATGTTCTTTATAATTCTCTTGATATTCTGTTTTTACCTGTTATCCCTCGAAGCATGTTTCCCCCTCCCATCCTTACTTGCTTATACCTGCTTTACTTTCCGCTGTATTTTATGTAACTGCACAGGTTTATTTGATAGTCTGGTCCTAGCCTCGTCACTACTTCGCCGACGTTACGCTAGGCACTTACCAGCACATAGGGTCGGTTGTGCTGACACTACACTCTGTGCTCTTTTGCACAGATCCAGGTTTCGGACAGCATCAGTAGTTGGAGGGCTTCCTTCAGTCCACCCGGAGACCCAAGGTAGACCTGCAGGCGTTCGCGGGCCCCGGCGTCTCCCTCTATCTTTATTCCCTGTTTCATTTCTCTTTTGGTTCAGAAACAACGTATTGTATTTTCCTTCGGACTTTGTTTGTAGTGACTCTTGGGCAGTCTGTGACACCGTGACACCAGATTTTGGGTATTGAGGTTTTGAAAGTTGTATTGGACGTAGTATTGAGTTATAAACATTGTTGACTTCCGCTTATTTATCAAAATCCCGTTGTTATTGCATTATCGCCTGGTAATTGTTAAAAGAAAGTAAAATAAAAGTGTATTAGGTAGTCAAGGCCTGGCTTGCCTAGCTCCCACTAGTAGGCGCCATCACGACACCCAAGGGTGGGAAATCCGGGTCGTGACAAGTTGGTATCAGAGCTCTAGGTTACATGGGTCTCACAGTTCACAAACAAGCTTAGTAGAGTCTGAGGGATCGGTACGGAGACGTCTGTATTTATTCCCAGAGGCTACAGAGTTAGGAAAAGTTTCACTTCTATTCTTTCCTGTCGTGCGATTTTGTTCTCTCAGTGCTAAATTGAGACCCCTACTCTTGTCCTTTCGCGAATGGCGAGGTCACGTAC